TTGAGTTACAGCTGCCTTGATGGCTGAATTTCTAGCTTTAACACACTTTGATCATGTTCCCCAAAATGTAAAAAGTGCTGATGCAAACTGGGACACTTCCCACATATAAAGGCGCTGACTGACTCTGCTCTTTCTCTAAATGAGGAAATAGCCATTGATTGCAATAAAGAGCAAGAGAGACCTTTGAGTCGCTTGCAAAAAAAAAAGAAGCAAAATTTGAATGTGGCTGGTGATTCACAGGTCTGTAATCAGGCTAGTGAGATGTGGACGGAATTACAACCACACTTTACTGAAGATTTCTTACAAATGAGGCGAGAGACGCATGGGCCCCGAGCCAACACAGAGTCTCATGGTTGCCCAACAGACATTCATTGTGCACTGCTCCATTTGCCTGTTATATCCCTGCTTGTATGTAGAGAGTGGAGCTGCATACATAACCTCACATAGAGAAAAACAGACGAGGGATTCATGCGTACGGGCACACACATGCTTCATGGTTTCCTTTGTGTTCACGAGTACGTATCGGCAGTTCAGCGACTACTCATGGATATGAGCTAAGGAGCTAAAGTAAAAGGGGGACAGAAAGCACAAAAGCAAAGCAAAAATAGATGGTGGAATACAATGACACAGAGAGCGGACACAATAACCACGGGGAGAGGGGGAGATGGGGGGAAAGGGAGGAGAAAAGAATACAAAAGGACTAGGTAAAATATGTCATTATCCTCAACAGACAAAGATTTTCTGTCTTCCAGGACACAGAGATTCATTTAGATCTTCACCAAACGTAGCAAGTGGTAGTGAAGTAGAGGGAGAAAAATGCTTTGGAAAACCTACCTCCTATATGTCGTCAACTTGAAACCAAAGACTGTACATTATAACAACTTAAAAAATGAAATCCCTTTTATCTGAAGTCACGGTTTACAGGGCATTTTATCACCTGCCAAGAATTTCCCTGCGTGTTCTTATGTTGTACTGCACAACTAAAGGCTCCTATGGCAAGCGTGATACAACTGAGCCTTAGAAGAGGCGATGTTTTCCTTTTATGTTGGGGTTTTGAGAAAAATAAAGCACATAAAGACTTAGCAGGTTATGAAATTAAATGTAATTAGCAGAAGGGTTGTGAGAATGCAAGTGATATCCAGTAAATAAAATGCTTCAATATTTGAGCCCATAGCAACACCGCAGGAGACGATGCATAGCAGAATAACGTAGCAACAAGAAGCTTTTCAACACTGAGTGCAGCCTTGACTTGACAGAATAAGCATCAACAGTGGTTGAAATAGACACTGAGAACTAAGCTGTACATTCCTGGTGTCTATCCTGAGGGTTACAGATGTTTGAGTTAAACTTACACAGATTTACTTTGACATTTCAAAGTATATAGATATAAACACATAAATATGCACATATATTGGCAATACTGTGACACTAAGAAGTCCATATGAACTTCATTTCCTCCATAATGTCATTGAAATAGGAAATTTTCACATTTTTTACATTCATTTATTCTGAAAATGTGATATCGGATATTTCAAACATTTATTGCTTTAATTTAGATGCATATAGCTTATAAATCATGAAGATAAAAAAAAATCAGTATCTTAAGTTGGTGAGAGGTTGGGTATTTCTCATCATTGTTTAACAGACTCTCTAATAGGTTCAGGTCAGGTGATTTGGCTAGCCAGTCAAGCAGAGTTATGTCGACACATGGTGAGCAAACCATTTGGTAGTAGTTTTGGCACTGTGGGCAGGTACTTAGCCCTGCTGGCAAGGGAAATCAGCATCTCCGTGAAGCCCGTCACCAGGTAAAACCTCCTGGTAGATGTCTGGGTTGATTTTGGACTTAATAAAACATAATGGACTAACCAACACCAAGACATGGCACACCGAATGATCACAGACTGTGGAAACTTCACACTGGACTTCAAAACCCTGGCTTAAGAGGCTGACTGCTTTTCCTCGAGATGCCTCAGACTTTGATTTCTAAATGGAATACAACATTTACTTTAATCTGAAAAGAGGACTTTTGGACCAATGAGCAACAGTTGGGTTCTTTTTCTCCTCACTCCAAGTAAAAAACTGCTGACATCACTGGTTCAGAAGTGATAAGATATTAGCAATGCAACAGCACAAGCCTCAGTGCACTCCCTGTCAAGTTCTGGAATCAACTTTTCGTCACAATCAAGAAAATCAAGATTGTAGTCATCCACGTTACTTGTGCACCTCTTCCCACCACACTTTTCCCGTCCAGTCAACTTTCCATGAATACAGAAAGCTTTGATATGGCACTCAGAGAACAGCCAGTCTTTTCACCTTCTGCATTTTGCCCTCCTTCTGGAGAGTATCAGTGGCCGTCATCTGGACAACTGTAAAGTTGTCTTCCCCATGATTTTGTTGTGTGGACAGAACTATACTATGAGACAGATGCTATCCGTACGGTTTAAATTGTAATGTACTCAAACTTGAAAAGAATGAATCACGATAGTGGATTTCTGATTGGCTGATCATGAGCTACAAGCTGTCATTTTTCACACAGGCTTCATTCAAGTTTTGTTTTAGGAGAAAATCACTTTTGAATTTGTAGATGCTCTGACAATGATCAGCTGCTGTCATGGTTTGATAAATCTAGCTGTAAGATTTTCTGGTGAAGTACCTGGCTGTTAAAATGGCATTACTCACTGTAGAAGCGCAACATATTTTTATTTCAAATAAAACTATTTCTGGCATTGTGAACTACTACCAAAGAGCTTTCTAAACTCTCACAAGTGATTTTGAGAAACACGACAAGGGCTTAAAGTTTGTAACCTGGATTTGTTGTTCAAGGTTATAGTTTGCATTATTATTTTGTAACACAGAGATTCCTAAAACATTAGCCAAAATCCATACTTGTTGCTTTCAAGCTCAATAAGCCCCGTAGAGTTGTGTTTTGGTGCCAGTGAAGTGCCACCTGCAGGCTTTACTAAAGGATTCAACAAGTGGGCCAAAATGTCAGCCCACTCTGCATGATGTCAACAAGTGGGCTAGAAACTTCTATAAAAAAAACAACACCAAATAAAACAGCATCAGCCACCAGTGAAAATTACGTTTACATTTCAAAGCTTCTATTAATGGAAGGCAGCTTTACTAAGTATGCGCTAGCTTGTGAAGCCTGCGCCCTTTTATACTATAGAGCACAAACAGATGCTTCCTGATGTTCACACAAGGGGGTTGCCCACTTTGGCAGCTTTCAGCTGTTTGGCAGCTCTTTGTGGAGTGATATAATTGACTGTGGAGCAGTGGATTATTCTGCAGGAGAAGTCAGAAGACTGTCTTTATGCTATTCCTCATGCCACAGCTGTTTTCTGGCCAAACAGGTTTACCACAACGCCCATATTTGGGAAAATGAGAAAGGTAGCACAGCAGGGGGGTTTTTTGTTTTAAAAAGGTGGTTTAACATCCAATTTCCAAACAGCTATGCAGGAAATATGTTGCCCTAAGCTAAAGAAAAATATATCACTTAATCACTGTCAGTGGAGTATTAGCCACTGACGTGTCCGGCGACGAACACGGAGATAAGAAATAACTTGTAGTCATCCGGAACTGCTGTCCAAACATATGAGCCATAGCAGAAATGTTGAGAAATGAAGGTTCATGTTGTCATCGTGATACTTTGTCACTGCCCTCTGGAGAAGTAGGTTGAAAAAAGAACAGGAAGATATCCAAAAATACTCTAATGGTGAGTCCAGTTATCGGAAGTGAAAATGCAACTGTGCCAGAATAGGGCACTAAAATGAAAGACCCCTACTGAAATCCCAAAATGCTCCCAACATCAGTGAGTTGAAAAAAAAGTTACATTTTACGTAGTCATACCCAGTTCTAATGATTACACACACACATCATGCTCCACCCACATAAAAAAAAGAAAATCTGTGTGAAGTTCAGAACATGTCCCTTGTGGAATTGATCACGAAGCCTTCTTTCTTTACACAATGCAAAATATGCAAAATTCACAGCTCCCCTGCTTTAAACCCTATCTCCCTATAGCCTTTCCCTCACTTAGCCCTCTCCATCTGCCATCTCTCTCTTCTCACAACTCCTACTCTTCAATTTCCTGCTTTGTTGTGCTTCCCGCATTCACTTCCTTCCTTCGCCATCCTCTTCAACTTTATGTTGTTTTCAAAGCATTTCTCATCTTTTAATCCATTTCCTACCACATATATTTCCACTTGTCCTCGCAAACGTCATTCTCATCCCTGTACCCATCATATTTCCCCCTCTCAGTCTCTTTTTTTATTAGTATCTCCTCCTCCTTGCCTCCCTGCAGTGTTAAAGCTGTACCTGCGGCATTCTGCTCTCAGTATCCTCTCATCTAAATGGGATGTGTGGCCTTGTTATAACTGATTCCTCTAGACAAGAGGTGAGAGCTAACCTTTCTCCTGCTTCCACACCTCACCCGCTCCTGTTATTTGTTTTCATAACACAAATATGCTGTCCTCGGTCACAGCATCCATCAAAAAGCTTTAACATCCCAACTCTAGCAGACAAAACAAAATAAATTCTACGAAATGGAGCTCTGTCTTTAACGGTGCTTAAACCACTGTGTGAAAAAAAGAAAAACCTCCTCCGGAGGTAAGATTCATATCGGATTAATGCACAAGTGAAAGATAAAGACAAGAGGGGTGAAAATACTGAGAATATCCTCGGATATCTGCCTGTGCTAATGAATATGATTAATGTTAAGCTGCTAGAGTATCCACTTTCCATGTGGATATCGAAGGGAAAAAAATTATATTCTCATCCCATGAGTTACAACAAAGCATATCAGACGAAATAGGTTTTCTTTACCAAGGCACACAGGTAGAGATGATAACTCGTCACTGTAGTCAAATACCATCCTTCCTGTTATAAAGGCCCAGAGAAAAAAGAAGCTCTTGTGGTACACTCATCGGGAGACTCACACGCATAACCTCACACAGCAGTACTCACTTATACAATTCCATAAATTCAAAAAGTGAACTTACGCGTCCGGAAGCGGTGGTGTGGGCGTGTGGCCGGGCCCTTGCCTGGGCGTCCATGATTCCAGCGTGACGTGGGCTTGACAGGGGCTGGCGGTTGAGAGGTGGTCGGCTGTACCTTAGCAGTGGCCTTCAGTGTAGCTGTAGTTGTAACAGATGTGGTAGTGGTGACGGTAGGAGAAGTCTGCCCTGGCTTGGAGTTGACAGCTCCATTACGTCCATTGCTGTTTCCCTTTCTCACATTACTTCGAGGGGTGACCTCCCTACCGCTGGATGGTGGAGTGAGTCGGGTGGCACGAGTAGCAGAAGTGGTAACAGTCCCGCTAACGCGGGTGCCAGCACGGTTATGAAGGTGTGGGGCACTGTTGCCATCTCCATTGGCAGTGCTGCCATTGGCCGAGTGATTAGCTGGAGGCCCTGATCTAGTTCTTGGCGCTGGGGCGGTACCGTCTGCAGCTAGTGGCGTGGTAGTTGACACCATTGCTGTCGTAGAGGCTGCTAAAGTACTGGTGGCAGTGGAAATGTCAGGCCCCTTGGGCATGGCACTGGGTTTAGAGAGAAATATAGGATCCTGTCCAATGCTACCTTTAGGATCCACTAGATCAGTGGGGACATAGTCTTGGACGGATCCCACCACAATCCATTTTAGCAGCATAAGACTGAGTCCCAGTCCCACAAAGCCCATGACTAGGGGCACGGCACAGAGCCAGGTCTGCTGGCGAGGCCACACGGCACAGGGGCCACAGCGGAGAGGGCCTGGGGCTCGAGGAGATGCCTGTTCTGCCCCTGGTTCCTCCAGCGTCATGGCTGCTAGAGTACTTGCACCAGAACGATCGCTCATCCTGCTGGAGGTTTTTTTTTGTCTCTTTTAAGGTACTGGGAAGGTCAAACAGGTGGCCAAATTACACAATGGCATGTAAGAGGAAGGACAAGTGGTGCAGAAGAAATGCTGTGCATCTTAAGTAAATAGTACCCACACAATACCTGGTCTATATGCCTTCATGCAGCAACATAAAACACGTACTAATGCACAAGCACCCACAAGCAGAGCAGACACGAGATAGCCTAAGTTACTCAGTCATGTACTAGGTGTAGGCTTACTAATTAAAAGCTGGCACGGCACTCAAATGCATACACGAGCAATATAACCTACACTCCCTCTGGCGGACAACAAACCACATAAACTCACACAGACATAGAAATGCACAAGAATATACACACAAGCACACAGGTTATGGACAGGTGAGAGAGAGAGAGAGAGAGAGAGAGAGGCGGGGAAGAGGGAGGGGGGTCGGGGGAGGGCGCCTCACTGTAGTTTAGCGCTAACGAAGCGATGATAAATCCCAGGATGCTTCACTCCCTTGTTAAAAAGCCGACGCAAAAAACCGAAAGATATCGATCCGTTGCGTGGCGAGCTTCAGATTGGAGCTGTAAATCCATACGCGTGTGTGTTCGTGCGCAGACCAACAACCTGGGCTAAAGGCAGCACCCTTCTCCACTCAGCTGGATGATTATCGGCCGAATAAGGTCGGCAAAAGACAAATTCTTCAAATCACTCTACTCTTGGGTCTCATCGGAGTTTACTTTACATTAGAGCCTGTAGCTTATGTGCAGCCTACTAATGGGCTCCCTTTCCCACTTGCAATGTCTTTGTAGGCTGCTCCAACTTTGCCCCTCACAGCCCTTAGGAACGGCCACCCTTTCGGTCGCTCCAGCTGTCGATAATCCAAGCCGGTGAAAGCCACCGAAACTGAAACGAGGCAGGGCTGAAGGGGATCTGATGTGATCTGCCAATGAGACTGGGGCGGTGTTGCTGTTGGTGGTGCCCTGAGAAGCGGGCTAAATCCAATTGATCCTGGTCTAATCCATACGCTGACCACCCCGCGCTGATTTCCCGGAATGACAGCGGCGTGTCTCCAGAGCAGTCTGACTGCAGTCCGTCCCTGGGATAATAGATCCGGTGTTTGGTGGAGGAGAGAGAAGAGAAAGAAGAAGAAGAAAAAAACAGGAACCCCTTACGATTCGTTTACCTTCGCTGCATTCCCACAGTGGTGCAAGCAGCAGAAAGGGAGACGGGTAGAAAAGAGGATGGGGAAGAGAGAGAGAGGGAGGAGGGGGGTACTGCTGCTCTGAAAAAATGATGCGGCGGCTGTTCTTGGAGGCTGCAGACTAGGGAGAGACAGAGAGTGAGGGGAGAGAGGAGGAAGGGGAGGGGAGGCTTGCTCAATCCGCGGTGAATGATGTGGGTTTCACGGCTCCTATCCCATCCGGCGCTCTCCTCCGGTTCATCGCCGTCCTCAATACTCCAAAGTGACGAATAGTCAGTGCCCCATCTTTCCCCGTAGACTCCACGGCTGTAGGTGTGCTCTGACTCCCTTATCAGCAAGAGAAGAGAAGAGGAAAAAAAGAGGAAGAAAGCGACAATTGTGGTGGGCAAAAGCAGAAAGATAGCGGGAAAAACAAGACAGAGCACAGATGCGTGTTGGCTAAAGCTCTGCAGCAGATGCAGATAGGAGGCAGAGGGAGGAGGCGGCGGCGGCAGCAACAGCGGCGCGCACCACACACGCACGGCAACGAGAGAGGAGAGGCGCTACCATAGACACACCCCAGGGAGCGGTGGAGATAGAGCGAGGGAGGGAAAGGATGAGAGGAGGAGGAGGGAGGCGCCACCCCGATGTCTTCCACCAGTGGCACACAAGAGCAAGCAAACCAAACACCGGGCTCATAATTTAGGCTATGGGCGAGTTGGAGCACTACTTCAACTTGATACTTCCGCGGGCAGTAGATGAATCCCGTATTTAACAGTTCACAGGGGACAGCGGTGCTTTAGGCACACAGCCAGCGTGGTTTTATGGCCAGTGCGACTTAGTGAAATGAAAAATGTGCGTTCCTACTTTTAGAAAGCCTACAGTTCAGCAGTGAGACGTAAAGTGCCCGAACCATCAAGGCCTTTGGGACCTGCTGTATGTAAAGCATAAATGCAACGCAAACAAACAAATGTGTATGCGCACAAGTAAACTTGGACGACATAGGTTAAAGGCATTCAGCGAACTTATATCGTCTTTTGAATTCTGAGATATAACCACCATTCGGCATCACTTGGAGCAGTCGTCTGTATTCTCTTCTTCGTTTTAAAATAGCTTGCAACTTTGTGGCAATAATTTCCTACTTGCGGGAGCTTTGGTTGTCACCAGAGACACATCAGTGTTGCTGTTATTTTACTACAGTACCTTTTCCCTGTTCTTCCTCAATTAATTGCAGTTGTATTATCATTAATCAAAAAAGTGGCTAATTTAACACAGGTTGGACTCAGTTAAGGGTTACTCAGTCAGTTAGACGTCTCCAAGCCTGCAAATCGTCTCAGCTGTCCCCTTTTGTTATGTGCAGAGAAAGACGTTTGCAAATACAGAGACAGTCTTTAGTTTCACATGCACCGTTGCTTGCAGTAAGGACTGTGGTCTTATTCAAGGCTGCCATCTGCTTCTTTGTATCATGATTGATTCTTTTTTAAATAGAGAAACGGGAGTAGTCGACAAAATCAAGAAAACCGTTTATCATTTCGAAATGTGGGTGCATCTATATTGCTGTACATTTGAAAAGAAGGCTGAAAATGGGTGCGTGTCTTTGTCTAAGTATAAAAGGAAGTGAGAAGGAAAGGACCAAGATAAAGGGGTGTCTTGGTCCTTGATGTGATTCATCAAGTATCCAAAACTCATAACAACTCAGAAAACCCTCCAAAAACTTAAACATCTGATATTGCATTCTGTCTTCTTTCATATGGCAAAAAGTCACATTTTAAACTTCTTTTTTTTTCTTTACATATTCCTTTACATTTTCAGCTGCTGCCAAAGCGGTTCCGCTTTTTTATGGACAATAACAACTTCCGTGACCCCGAAGTTTGCTTTTCATTTCATTTTCATAAACAACAGGAAATGACACAACCACAAGCTCCTTTTATATTCTTGCAGTGATCACATTTTTCATTACTGGCTTTGCTAATGTTCACGATGAGTCTGACTGCACTGTTTACTGCTTTAGGCGCAGAGGTAATGTCCCGCTCTGAAGATGCTTTTGAACTTGACAGGCTGTCGACAGTCATTCTCTCCCAGGAATATACTGTGCTTCTTACCCCTCTCAAGTATTTGAAGATTCTTAAGAAGTGGAAAAAATGTGAGGATTTCCAGCAGAGGAATCTATTCAAGTCATTGAAATGTTGGTTCCATTTCTGTGCGAGTTTTTTTTTTGTTTTTGAATAAAGTTTCAATGAGACTTTATTAGACTTATTAGAGTATTATAACACCACATAATGTTTCATATACTATTTCCCAATATTCACTCATACATTACTAATACTGTAAATGCAAATACATTTTAAAATGAATAAATTCAACCTGTAAAAAGCTGTTGTCACAAATGCCACAACTAAAGCATGTGCTCTGGACCTCAGCTTGTATTATGTAATGTAATTATAAATTATTTTATATAAGAAAATAAAAGTGGGAAAATGAAACTTTTAAACAACTGTTTATTTATGTTTAGTTTTTGTACGTTTCTTATCAAAGTGAGTTTTGAAAAATAAAAGTGAAAAAATAAATAATAAGCATAGTGGATATACTGATGCTGTCACTTTGGTTGCAGTTCTGTACGTGGGGTAGGTACCAAACTATATGCTCTATAATGATTAACGGTTCAAGCCCTCTGAATGCAACATCCAGTGATGTCCTGTACTTGTAAGCAGGGACCAGAGAATTCCTTTCTGTTATGCAGAAAAGGCCATTAAGCTCACTGGCTGTGATGAACATCCATTGACGTAAGTTAAAGTTCATCTTGTTGCCATTTGGCTTATCCTGGCTGTGGAGGTTTGTCATTAGAAGCAGATATCATTTTATCTGGTGTATTCCCCTGGGTATCTCCTTGCCCAAGAATATTAGTGGTTCTATGAACCTTTTGCTCAGATGCAGGGTTACATTTGTGTCAGTCATCCTGTCTAAAACATGTCTAGTCTGTTTTCGACTCCGGCCAGTGTGCCTCTTGAGCATGACGATGTGTGTGTAAGGTCAATAGGTAATGGGTGAATTTACACTCTCTGCAACCTTCACACCACTATAAAAATAGCTTATAGGCTTCTTTCACTAACCTTCTTCACTTTGAGAGCATAAACTATGGCAACCTTTATCTCCGTATTGATTATTGCTCTCTGTATAATATTAAAAATCAATGTATTTTCTCTCTGAAAGTGTCTGCATTCAAGGAGCTCTAGGGAGCTACTATTTAACAAGACTGATCAGGACATACAAACACATTCCATAACACACTGAGAAAGACTTCTCAAACCAAAATAGAGGAAATACATTTATAATGTGGTGTCTTTTCCTTTGATAACGTCCTGTGCAGCTTCCTTCCTGCATGTGTGTGGTTTCAGAAAAGGTGAACGCAGTTTTAGAGTGTCCCCAATCCAAACCTGTAAAATAGGATTAGTGCTTAATGGGGTTCGCTAGTTTCTACTAGTGCTTCAGTGAGATGCTTAGTACTATCCCTCTTTGATTAATGCATTTGGCAAGATCCCTACCTGACCTCTGGAAGCAGGCTTTCACGAAGCACAAGAAAAGTTTTCCTCGGGTTATGAAAATAATTAGCTAGCACTTATATTGCAGGGAAATTCAATTTCAGGACTTCCTCTCTTAGCCACAGAAACCCATGCAAGTCCCTGGTTGCAGCGTCTCCTAAGTATGCCCCTCAGTTTATCTCAAAAAATTTGGACTTTTCTTATCTATGTGTCGCCGCATTTTACCCCACGACCTTCAACACTCAGTTAGACAACCTTATGAGCGTTAATCAGGAGAATCCACACTGTGCTGCTTGGCTACATGCATTCATAATACTTGGAAATCACAGCTCTTGTGGGATCAGTGCACTTCAAATATACTTGAGATTCTGTTCACAGGCAGGTTTTCATTTGAATGTCAAATGGGTTACCTGTCAGAGCAGAACTTAGAAGTGGGGGTGCCCACTGCAGTGGAGTGCAAAGGATCTCGTTGGGCAATCTCCACATCTAAAGAATAGCCGGAGAATTCCTGCTAAATGGGAGGTCCAGGTTTTCTTGGTTTTTAAAAAACTTTTGTGATATACAACAAAAGCGAGTGGGATTAGAGCTTTTAAAATTTTTATTTTATTTTTTAATGAGGTTTTGCTTGTGACATTAAGAACATAACACGCAGGAACTGTTAACGAGTATACAAGTTAAAAAGGCAAATTGAAAGCATGTCATAGCCAAATCCATGCCATTCAAGCTACTGTTAGTCATCCCATAACCCAACAGAGAAAGAAAGCTTTTTTAGTGTGTTGTTGAACTTCTGCATCATGCTCTCAGTTGATAGTCTATCAGTGGCGAGTGTAAAAAGCCCTTACGTATTGGTGACAGGTAAGAGGTGAAGCTCAGCAGCAGCACCTGCAAGAGTGCAGAAAAAAAATATCAAAAGCGCTGTCCATGGTGCTGATTCTTAAAAAAAAAAGTGACCAGCACATAATCAACCAACCATTATCAGTAAATAAGCTATAATAAGACAATGCACAGTCTCAAGTGCTGTTTCTTCTTAATTTGACTTATAATATTATATTTTAATGATGTATGCATGATTAAATAACAACATCAGCGTTATGGTACCACAATAAATACAGTAATATCGCTCAAGGCATCAAAGTTCATTATAAATACATCTTAGAAACATGATGTGAAGTAATCTTATCATTGGGGTGTAGCAGGCAGACAATATTACATGTGTAGGAGTAATTAAATCATCTGTCCCCAACTGCAAACACCACATCATCATCTATTCTATATTGTTGAGGCAGCCGAGTCATAAGCCTACAAATGGGATCAGCTGTTCTCAGCTGTTGTTGCCAAATGCAGTGGACCTCCAACATTGCTGCCAGTGGGCACATTGCATCGTTCAGTTCCAAGGCCTCCTCTTTACCCCGAAATGAGAGGGTGGAGAGGTGTAACCCAGCTGGGGACAGTTGCACATGCTCTGTGATTTCAGTTTGAATGTGTCAACAGCGATATGTTTTGCCCATAGTGATATTCACTTCTGTTTACATTGCAACTCTATGACTTTTGCCAGGGTGGATGGATCTTTATTCCCTTTGAGTATATATGCATTTCCAGCAAAACACTGGCTGAATAGCGAAGGGAATGGAACTCAACTGTGGTTCTTGTCTCATCTGGCACTTTCTGGGTATATGTTCCTATTATCTTATTTCCAATAAGTTCAAAAAAGAAAACAGAATCACAGTACTGCTAATAGGATTTCTCACTGTTTTCTTAGTATCATTAGATATTAGTACAAAGCACAGACCATTGAGGTTTCAGTCATTAAAAAAACAGCAGGATGTTGTTGTTTTTTTAAAATACTAAATACTTTTAAAAATCCATACACTTTTGTTATGTTATTAATTCATGCATTGGCTTTGCTGCGCTGTTAAACAGTCAGGGACATAAAGAGCAAATTGATTGCAATGTAGCAAACATTATCCTGTGTTTTTCTTTAAACACAATTTACAGGAATTTTGCTTTTTGCATGCAGTGTTTA